TGTCTTCAGATAGAGACAGTGTGGGACAACGTGTATCATCGCTAGTCCCTCCAATTGCCTCCCGGCGTTTAGCCCGGCCGCCATACCGGTCCCTCGATCCGTGAAACCAATCAATGACAGTCTTGCGAATCATTTCGTGGACGCAATCACCAAAGGTAGGGTCCAGGCGAATGGCACCTGAAGTGTTAACAAATGACGGAAACTTACCACACAGGGGTGCATATAAAGGACTACCAACAAAGGATTGTTTTCCCACTGAGCCACTCCAACAGTAGTCACGCCTTCATCTGGCGCTTAATCCGCCTGTATATGGTGCTTCGGTGATAGCCAGAGTAATTACGCTTCATAATTGCTTTGGATATTCAGTAAAAATTTGTATAAGTGGACTACGAACACCAAGGCTAAATACTACATACATAGACATACAACTCGACTACGTGAACTGGCTGGTGAGTAGATACTTAAACAATTAGCATAATATACATAAATGAACTAAGACAGCTATCAAGAGCATGAAAACAGCATTGGTTGACTCACGATATTATCTGCGACCGATTGTCAAATATACGAATTAATAACACACACAGATTGTAAACCGGTGGACAAAAAAGAGTTTACGCAATGAGGGACTTAAACAAAACCTCAGTATATTGTGCTCATTCGCAGCTACATTCAGTGGGCGTAAACGAATGCTTCCTCCATGATTTATAAGCCAATTTTGATAAATTAGCTCCTTTTAATGCCAAAGAAGGTAAAATGAGTGGTGCTTTTGAAACATATCTTTCGATGCAAATACGCTTCAAAAGGCTTCAATCCAGAGGGGGCTCTGGCCCCGCCCAGCCCCTTCCAGCCCCGCCTATGAAGGAGCCATGTGCTGGTAGGGGGGCTCCGGCCCCACCCAGCCCCTTCCAGCCCCGCCTATGAAGGGGCCATGTGCTGGCAGGGACCGTACACCGGGCGCCAGGGACCTTAGACTCCGCGAAAGACGTGTTTATAAGGTGTGTCAAAGCAGAGGCTATCTGAGAACAACAAGACTTGAGGAGAAAAGGTGAGACACCATCCGGCCTGGCGGCTGTTGACCCACGAACCTTTTTAAAGTGTTTCCCTACTGTCGCCTCAGACACGGTTGATAAGACATATGGTAGCAGGGAAGACAGAAGTCATTGCGAGTAAAGACAAAATTTTCGTCCAAAGAATCTAAATAGGCATCAACATGGACCAATGTGCTACGATGGCCAGTGAGACGTTTAAGATCCCCCCAAATTCCTGCAGACGAATGAGAAAAAGAAGGGACGGAAGAAGAGGAAAAAAACTGACTAATCAATAGGTTATTTATTATGGTGATCAGTTAAGTCAGTTTTCAGTTAAGTCAGATCTCTCTTTCATTAGGATGATAATGTCCCTAAGACTATCACGTAGGTCTAGGCTGTGAAGGAGTTCCCTTTTGCGTCCTAAGAATTTTAGATAGGGAGAGTAAATTCTATCCGCTCCTACGATAACAGTACCAACAGACCAGCAAATATCAAAAGTCTCATTTAAAAATGTTGTAAGGTGGCTAGAGTGTGATCCGAAATTCGATTGTTTAAAGGAGGAGGGGATAGTATAAGATATGCAAGTCTGAAGCAAGCGAATGTTTCGTAGAGATGTGCTGCAAACCTTAATCTTCCTCTTCTCTTTGGTTAACAGCACACTTTTAGGGATTGAATAGATTTTTGGAAGACCCAATAACTGAACCTGACGACGGACCTCTATTTTTAACACAAAAAGCTTTGAATAAATGGTCAAATGTGATCAAGAGGGGCGTTAGCGCGTGCATCGATGGAGACAGGATCCTCAAAACCTAAAAGTGTAAGGGGACGTGGGTTCAAGCGCCTACAATCGTCGCATAAGAGAATCTATTCTCCTGCAAATCCGAGGGGAAGCATTTGCCTCGAGTTGCCTTCAGGTCGTCTGTTACCTCTGAAGATCCTACACATTTCATCAACTTATACTCATGAAATGCCTACCCGTCGAAATTTCGGGGGTTAGTGCGAGCCTGTCCAATTCCGGCGACTGCTCTGCCAAGTACGACGTGGAGCCAATGACAGCAGCGGACGTCTTCATTGCCTCAAACTAAGCTCATTTCTGACGTTGAATGCGTTTATAAACGGTGCTCCGGAGCAATTTGTAATACATACGCTTCATAATTACTTTTCGTTGGCAATAAAAGTCAGAAAATTAAGGACATGAATGCAGACTGGTCAGCTAGTTTGGTGGGATGTCTGTCATTTGGCAACTAGACCTATTTACGCTTCAACTAGATCCAGATTTTTAAGTAACGGCAGCTAGTAACACAAACAATAATATCAAACATCAAAAAGGAAATAGATTACGTACCACAGTATGAAAAGTACTAGGACGATGTTACGCAGGACGAAAACCGACAACCGGTGTGCAACACTATCAGTGGGGAAGAGCCCCCAGGTTGATCAACTTAAAGAAGAAGATTTATTTAATGCATCCTGGGGAGCCGTCATGAGGGGACAATTAGACTATAAGGGCAATTCCCTAGAGATAGTCTTATGCATTTTGGTCTTGATATAGTTTAACTTAGCGGTTAAACTCAGTACTTGAGACATGGAATTGTTTTTTCAATAATCCGGACCAAGGCCGTACCTAGCCCAGTCATGGCTCCATCTTATGTGATGGCAGATTAAGATGCTCGAAGTACAATGTAGCAAGTTTTTGTAAAAGAAAGTCGACAAAGCGGACTAGAGCACCCTCACAGGTAGCGGGAGAATATAAATACTGGCAAATGTAATACCTTCCAGCACCAACCTAACTTGGCCCGTTCTTGTCCAGTTAGGCTGGAGGTGGCTACGGTTTGGGCCAGATTTGCCCACGGGGCTGGGATACGACGTCGCATGGGCGGATGTGGCCCAGTTGGCCCAATCACCGAAAAATTCCCACTCAATTCTGGTTCAGTTTTTCGATATCAAATCCATCGGTGGGCATGCATGGGCTGCCGTATCACTATTTATCATTGCCAAATCTACTCCAGTTAGGCCCAGCCTAGGGTTTCCAAACCCGACCGACTAATTACACAAGCAAACGCTTGTCGGCGCAGCGACCAATATCACAACGTAAGTCGGTTGATTGAAACAAACGGAAGAAAATTGTTATTGACGAATTGAATAACAATAAACGTATATAGGAATTTTATACACGATACGAATTGCTGTCCGGAGTTATGATTCCCTTTCGGTTGCCATCGCCGGTTCCTGTTGACAACCCGGAAAATTGGTTTATAAGCAAAAAAGGAGTTTGTCATACTGCTTTAGTAGCAAAAAATAAGTAGTCTGCATGACAGCTTATGTGAATATGAAGAAGGTATTTGCTTCAAAACTTATATAGAAAATGCTCATACTACTTTAGCGGTCAAAAACTATAATAACAGCCATGTATACGAAGTTCGTTGCAAAAGACCTACTATTAATAAAGTTGTAAACGTAATTGCCGTGTCTTCTACCGGAGACGGATTGGGATAAACCCCGGTGGGAGCTGTCCCTCGCAGCTGTTCAGTTGTGGAATTCACTCAAATTGCTCGAGTCATTTCAGCGGCTTCTGGGCATTTAGATCTTCCGCTGTACCTGTCTCTGGCTCTGTGGAACCATGTAATGGCGTTTTTTCGGAGTGCCCCACTTGCGTCTGTGGAGGGCAGTAAAAAAATTCGACTTATCGGTGAGGATAGTACGGAGGGGACAACTGGAGAAGGACCTTTTTCTGTCGATCTCCCCCAGCAGAAGCTGAGGCAGAGGGGAGGGACCGAGCAGAGAAGTCAGTAGATTTCTAACAAACTCCTGCTCGTTGTGTCCTCCAACAACCGGCAGCTGTGTCGCCTAGAAGCCGTGATACGTACACAGACAAATTTGAGCACTTAACACCTCCTGTTGAGTATATTCAACAAACGGGGCTTGCATATAAAAGGGATAACGTCTATCAAATCTTCGGAGTAAGAAAATAAGGACTTACGCTCTCTGCGCTAATTTTGTCTAACATAAATAGCAACCCCTCCACTGCTACACGATGAAGATTTTCTATTAGTTGGAAAGCAGCAGAAGGACGGAGGAGTAATTAGCTGCGAATCAATATCGTCATTTAGCCACGTCTCTTGAAGACAAATCCCTTCAGCTTGACTGTGTTCTTTTTTCAACAACAGTAGCCCTATATCGTGAGGTTTGTCGAAGATCGAACGATAGTTTGTCGACAGGAAGTTTGGAATTGAAAATTGGTTCATTCGTTGACGTCTGAGTGCGAGTTGCCAACCGCGCCGGGGTTTTTTCCAATGCATAGGCTTTTTCGATGGAAATGTGATACCGCTGGCGAAGAGAGGTCACAAAAGTGACATATTGGCCGAGAAGTGCAACAACTGGCATCACGGACAGTCATCAGTGAATTTGACGATTTAAGTTCCTTCAGAAAGGCGCTAACGCACTGTTGAGATGACCTCATAATCTTATCACAGACAAACAAAGGATAGGAAAAAGATCAATATATCAATGGAAATAGGCAGAGTAATATGCAGTCTCCAAAATTCATACATGAATGGAGAGCAAAAAAGGCGTCTCAGATTAAAAAAATCCCACGCTTGGGGTTGATTGCGTCCTTAATGAAGAAATGTGAGTGAGGGAAAACAGCTAGGATAACAAAAGGTCTACTCCAGGAGTGGTAAAAATCCGCTGCTGTTCCGTGGGTTGGTGTTGCGTTGAAATGTTAAACTAGGTCACCAATTTCATATAACTTCCCAGGAACCTACGGTCATGGCTCAGTTTTGGTGCATCCAAGAGGATTTTATTGTACAGCGGGCTATGTTATGTGCTTGCCGAATAGCCTGGTAAAGTAGGGTGCGATAGTCAGTCGTTAAGAGCCGCTAGGAGACTTCATACTTGATGATTCCGCTATTATGATCCAAGCGATCATTGTTGCTAGAAAGAACGTCCAATAGCTCACTTGTTCGATGAATGCTTTCAAGAAATATCCTATCCTGTGTTTCCACAACTACCACCCATAGACTTCTCTGCGTCGATGACTGCACCCTCAACACCCCCTTGGAATGGGACATGCAAAGGAGAATAGACCTCTTCGACACCGCCTTTGACAAATTCGGCCTGGTCATTGACACGGAGACGGCTGCGGTTATGCACCAAACGCCAATCGACGTTGCCTACAACGCACCCCAAATAAACGCGAACGACACCCGACCGCAAGTCGTGGACAACTTCACATACCTAAACAGCACCCTCTCCCGCACCACCAAGATCAGTGATAATGTGGCCCGCCGGATTTTCAAAACCAGTCAAGCCTTCGGCCGTCTGCGAAGCACAATCTGGAATCGCCACGGTCTCAATCTCAGCATCAAGTTGAAGATGTATAGGACAGTCATCCTGCCGACGCTGCTGTATGGAGCGGAAACCTGGACGGTGTACAAGAAGCAGGCGCGAAGACTCAACCACTACTCCCTCAGCTGTCTCCGACAGATAATGAAGTTGGGGTGGCAGGACCAGATCCCGGACACGGACGTACTGGAACGGACGGGAATCCTCAGCATCTACGCCATGCTGAGACAACTTCAACTGCTTTGGAGCGGCCACCTCGTGCGGATGGACAACGAGCGGCTACCCAAACGACTCTTCTACGGAGATGTTGCCATTGGTCCTCGCAGACGAGGAGGCCAAGTGCGTCGACACAAGGACACTCCTAAGACTTTCCTGAAGCGTATAGAGATCAACCCGGCCAACTGGGAAGACCTCGTCCGGGACCGACCGGACCTGAAGGGCGACAGTGAAGACAGGTAGAGCGATCTACGAAGCCAACCGCATCACTGCTGCCAAAGCCAAACGCAAGGCTCACAAATCCCAACTGCGCCCATCTCGCAACGCCAACGCTCAACAATCCCCGATCTGTCCACCATGGCAGAGGACTTTCCGGTCACAAATCGGCCTTGTAGGGCATCTTTGGAACAACTAAAGCACCCAGACTACGTCAGCTGCCGTTTCCTCGTCCAAATCTGCCTCATCCTACACGCCGACAAGTAAAGCTGACCGCACTCCCGAACCACCACTAACGTTCTCCTTCTCCCCCTCCTCCTTATCCTCATCCTTGTTCTCTATTGTCCCAACATCCGCCACGGTGGCTCCTAAACCCACCACCAATCCACATAATCCTGACGCCCCAGTAAACATCAACCTCCACCCACAATACCAGCGATGTGGACTCAATCCATACCTGTCCTCATTGCCACCACACCTTCACCTCACACATCGACCTGGTCGGTCACTTGCGAATTAATCACACGTACACTCGTCGCATCACCTTCAACTGCCCTCACTGCACCCGCACATTCATCCGCCGCATGGGACTATCAGGCCACATACGCATTCACGAAAACCTGTGGTAGACAACAGCCCGCCAAATCACACCACCACATCTTCCTCCATTTACATCACGCAACATTATCATCCACCACACGCATCCAATTGCCACCTCCCACGCAAGTGGGAAGTGTGCGTCTCGGCTCCGTCCCCATGCTGCTTCTTTGCTGCATGTGTGATTCGAGTCTGAGGCTATCCCCGCGCGTTAAGCGTTGTGGCTTTGAAGGCTGCTGACTGACACCCCATCTCAGTTCGCACAGTCTGCCCAGTTGTGTGCTTTTGTGTGGAATGATGGACTGGTGGACTGAGAGTCAGGCAGAAACGGCTCCTCCTCAACTTGACCTACGGCACTCTCACGCATGTGAGATATATGCCGCCCAACCCTCGTTGTGTGAAATCCTGGGACTTGTGTTTGGGGGACCTGGTCATGAAAGTGGTGCACGCAGAAAAGGTCACTATATATGTCAGCTACCGCGCCAATTTCCCCCACCTGCCAACTGACCGGATCGGACAGTGACTGGGGCCTGGGAATGGGAAGGGAGAGTGAGGTCGACGGCTCAGCGCATTTTCCACACTATAAACAATCTGACGCGTTTGAAGCTATCAGGGTGCGCTAAAAGTCGTGGCTTGGAAGGTTGCCAAGTGACGGGATAACTTGGACCTTACAGTCGGTCCAGTGTTTTGTGTTTGTGTGGAGCGGTCGACTGGTGGTCTAAGAATCAGGTTGCAATGAGTCCTTCTTAATGTGGCCTCTATGGCACCCGCACTCTGTGGGATCCGAACTGGGCTTGACTACTCGCTGCGGCTGCGACCGCGCCAGCCCCTTTTGTTGTTGGTTAAAGTCCTCGTTATTTGCTGTGTGGACGAGGGGGTGTGGAATGGTGCGCCAAGATGCGGACTCGACCATGCCATCTACCTGCGCCCTCCCCCGCCTCCAGTCTTTTTGACTATGTCTTGATACCGGGTCCAGGTAAGGTAGGAGGAGGAGAGAGTGCGATGGATTTTGCATGAGTCTACATTCACCATAAACTAAAGTACACATAAGTCACTGTGTCTGCTTCACCTTGCTGTGGAGCACATGGTGGACATCGTTCGCAACGACGGTCGTACTATCACATATATATAATGGTAGGGGGCGCTCACCGATCGTTCTTACGGAACTCACTAGTTCCCTTGTGCCTTACGGGCTCTCTCTCGAACCCAACCAGCAGCCGCACAGCGGCGCATGATATGGGCAGTATGTTATTACCGGCAAAGACAAGGGCGATTGGAATGACCATTTCTGGCCTATTGGCCGTCGTCAGCCAGTCATGCCCAACCCCGAAGTGTGGAACACCTGGGGCTCGAATTCGCGACCTGTTAGTTAGGAGTCCAACGCCTCTAACCACTGAGCCACGGGCCCGTTGTCCTGTCGGTTGCGATCGGGAATATACGGTGGTTGAGGGGCGTCGGAATTCTAACTAACAGGTCGCGGGATCGAGTCCCAGGCGTTGCACACTTCGAGGTCGGGTATGACTGGCTGACGACGGCTAATGGGCCAGAAATGGCCATTCCAGTCTCCTTTTTCCTTGTCGGTAATACTATTCTGTGCTTCGGACAGCTCGCAGCTGGAAGATATTTTCCACACCAGAGGTAGCAACATACGAACAATTACGTTTTCTGCACCGATGTCTCCAAGACTAACTAACCCCTCGATGCCTGAGAAATCAATCTTTCGTTAATACGGCTATGGGAAGAGACGTTCTGAGGCGGTTTGTCAAAAAGATGACAAGAGTTCTGATCAACGCCTGCCACCGGCAGCTGCAAAAATGCAAGGGTAAGACCGAGGAGAATAGAAGGCAGTGTGTCCACACTCTCGGTGATTCTATCGCCGCGGATCTTGGGAAGACGATCCCCGCCTGGCACACCACAGGCAAGCCAGGAAAAGTGAAGTTTTACAGCGGAAATTGACTAATCTAAAACCAACAGGCGCAGAAAAGTCAAAATCGGTCCACAGCCTCTCGTCTAAGCAACTAACAGAGCAGCAACTACGAGCGCTACAGCATGAAACTTGTTTCAATACTGCAGTTGCCGATCCTATCGACTTCATTGCAGCCTATAACCTATGCTTGTGAGAATTTAAACATCCGACTACATGAAACACTCCGTCCGACAGCGTGTTACCTCCTTGCTGATGACACACAGACCAACCAAATGTATTTCACAGAATGAGTCAAAGGCTATGAGGGAACTGAGGAGGGACGACAGCATTATCATTCTACCTGCTGACAAGGGACGATCAATCGTCGTGATGAATAGAGAAGACTATAATGAAAAAGCCAAAGCCCTTCTTGATGTCAGAGAATTCTACAGACCAGCACAGAACTCGCAAGCCAAAGCAGTGGCAGATCGGCTGAATGAACTGCTTAGAGAATACCGACATAAGAATGTGTTCAGGGAGAATGAATGACACCAAATGAGGGCAACTGACACCGCTCTAGCCCGATTCTATGGCCTGCCAAAAATCCATAAAGCAAATGTCCCACTTAGGCCAATCGTTGCCCTAAAAGGCAGCCCCACCTACAATTTGGCGAAGTTGATGTATTCAAAACTGAATTTCCTCCAAGGCAATTCGACTACCTCAATTCGATCAGCCTCTCATCGACCATTCCAAACTCATCCCAGCAGCCAGCCGAAGGGTCATCTGGCTTTGGAGATCTGGTGGACAATTTCGTCGTCAATTTTAACATTCCTTGGCCTTGTGCTTCCAAGATTCATGAATCTGTCCATTGTTGACAGTTGAGTTACATCGGCTTTGATAATGGGTTCTCCGAGATCTGAGTCTGACGCCGGTTGGTGCGTGACTACCGTCTTCTTTGTGTTAGTAGTCGGTCTGAAGTTGGTGCAGTCGGCAGCGAAAAGGTCCATGCACACTTACATGTCCGATTTCGTCGTTGTGTCGAGCGCATTGCCAAAAACTCGCGTATCTGCATGCGGCGGACGTTGAGCAGTTGTCCGGTAGCCGATGATAATTTCTGGCATCTGATCACGGTAAGCACCCATCAGCAGAGCAGAGAACATGCGGCTGGAGAAGATGGGAGCAAGTGCGCAGCCCTGCTCTACCCCATTTGTCACTGCAAGCGTTTCTGAGGCCGACCCGCGACAGGATTCGACATTCAGTAGCGAGGTAGTCGCACCATTTGAGTAAAGTGCTCCGGACATCCAAATTTCAGAATTATTTTTCAGAGACCGTCGTGGTTGACTGTGTCAAAGGCCTTCGTGAAGTCGGCAAAGGTGAGGGAAGGGTTGGCCCTTCTCCTCTAGTTTACTGGCTGCGAAGACCATATGGCTGGCACTGCGGCTCTCGTCAAATCCGTACGGACTTTCTGCGTGTTCAGACAGTTGAAGAGGACGCGAACGAAGACTGTTCCTGGGATGTTCGGTAGCGAGATTCCTCTGTTATTGCCGATACAAGCGAAGATGCGAGTTCCAGGAACTAGTTGATCAGAAGAAGAAACGATCGCTGGAACAATGACTTTATTCGCCTGACGTTTCGGATTCTCTCTTGAATCCATCATCAGAGACAGTTGCAGAAAAGGGTGGCTAGTGTACAGGAAGTCGCAGTATTTATAGGATGCGGTCGCCATGCTACCGCACACCTACAGCAATTAACCGTGCTCACTTCATCAAGGATTGTTGCCCGCTGGTGCGCTAATTGCTTGATGGCCGGCATGCAAGTTGTTAATTGCTGACATCTCATCACCCGTGTTGGATGCTGGCGTGATGATTGTTCCGTCAAACGTGACAGAAAAGTCTACGAGCAAGTGAAGGGCACACCAATGGGCTCGCCGATTTCGGGATTCATCGCCGAGGCGGTGCTACAGCGGTTGGAGTCGCTGGTCTTCCAACACCACAGACCGAAATTCTGGGCTCGGTATGTGGACGATACCTTCATCGTCATCAAACGGGATCAGGTGCTAACGTTCAAAGAACGTCTCAACAGCGTCTTCCCGGACATACAATTCACGATGGAGGAGGAAGAGAATACCCAGCTGACATTCCTTGATGTCCTCGTCTGTCGCAAAGATTGTGGTGGCCTAAAGACCAAAGTGTTCAGAAAAGCAACGAACACGACGCAAATTCTGAATTTCAACATTAGCCACCCAATCAGCCACAAACGCAGTTGCGTAAGAACGCTATTTCGGCGTGTTGAGACGCACTGCAGTGAACCGGAAGACAAGGTTGCCGAATCCCAATATATTCGACGGGTTTTCCGAGAAAACGGTTACCCGCGCAACTTCGTCAACCAGTGCCTGCGCAAACGAGACGAGCGACAAAATCGCGCCGACCCCAAATTCCGGCGAGCGATCCCGTACATCAAGAACGTCTCCGAGGCCGTTAGCCGCCTTCTTACACCACTTGGGGTTGGAGTTGCGCACAGACCG